CTACAAGACCCTGAATTTTCTGATCCTGCCCAGTCCCCAGCCCAGACCCACAGTCCTCCCTCATTCTCTGTGCCCAAGAAAACCTTCCCTGAGCCTGGGCTGGGTCGGGTTTGGCAGCTCAGAGAGCTGAATTCCTTCTTTCATCACGTCCAATTCCAGTTATTTTGCATTTGTCCCTGTGGTTATTTAATAATTTGATTACTGAGAGTAGTGTCTCAGCTCTGGAACCACACTGCCTGGGTTCAGGTCCCTGCTCTCCACTGAGCCATCTTGAACAGGTCACCTCTCCCTGCCTCCGTTTCCTGATCTGTAACACACACACACACACACACACACACACACACGTGCGCGCGCACACACGGTTCCTAATAGTACCTGTTTCTTAGGGTTTTATCTTAAATTAGCCCACAGGAGGCATCGTCGGTGTAGCAGCCATTGCCATGAGGATTGCCCTGTCTGACCGTTGGAGTCTGTGGAAACAGGGACCCATGTTGTGCCCTGAGCACCTCGTGTCTTGCCTGGCGCGTCCTACTGCTTAACAGATATTTTTGAGATTCTTTTCTTTTACTGTCACTGAAAATTTTGTTTGCAATTAAATGTTTGATTTCTTCAAATCAATACATGGACACAAATTTTAAAAATCAGGCCCTGGCCGGTTTGGCTCAGCGGTTAGAGCGTCGGCCTGCGGTCCGGAGAGACCCAGGTTCGGTTCCCGCTAAGGGCACGTACCTCGGTTGCAGTTTGTCCCCGGCCCTGGTTGGTCGTGTGGGTGGCAGCCACTCGAATGTGTTCCCTTCACGTCGATGTTTCTCTCTCTCTCTCTTCCTCTCTCTCCCTCCTGCTCTATCTGAACAAAAAATGGAAAAATGTCCTTGGGTGGGGATAAAAAAAAAAAAAAAAAAATCAGGGAGTACTGAGGGCATTTCCCTAATGGTTAGTGATGTTGAACGTCTTTTTGTGCACTTGTTTGCATCTTTGTATCTTCTTCTGTGAAATGTCTCTTCGTGTCTTTGGTCCATCTTCTAATTGGATCACTTGATTTATTTTTACTGTTGAAGTTTGAGAACCTGACAGATTGTAGATTATCAGTCCTTTATCAGATGTGTGCTTGCAAATATTTTCTTCCAGCTTTTTTATTTTTCCACTCTTCACCTGAGGATATATTTTCATTGATCTTTTGAAGGAGAGAGAGAAACATCGATGTGAGAGAGACACATCGAGTGGTTGCCACCCACACGACCCCACCCGGGGCTGGGGACAAACTGCAACTGAGGTACGTGCCCTTAGCGGGAACCGAACCCAGGACTCTCTGGTCCTCGGGCCGATGCTCTAACTGCTGAGGCAAACTGTCCAGGGCCATCTTTTAGACTCTTAATCATTGTCCTATATAGAAAGTTCAGGGTTTTTAGTGTTTCTTATTGGGAAGAAAATGTATTTCTACTTCAAATTTCCAGAAGCAAAAATCAAAGTAGTTTTTTAAAAAAAATGTGAGTCAAGTAATGTCACTTCTCTACCTCAAATTTGGCAAGGGCTTCCCAGTGTGATTAGAGTAAAATCCAAGTTTCTTACTGGCCCATCAGGACCTCACATGGCTTGGCCCTGCCTACTCTGACTCACCTCACACTACATCCCCCACCTGTCCTAGCCACATTGGCCTCCTCTCTGTTTCTTGAGCAGGTTGGCTTTTCATACCATGAGACAGTATCCTGCAGTAGTTGTAAACAAGGACTCTGGTGTCAGATGGACGGTTGTGGGTGATTGTGTGACCTTGGGCAAGTCACTTAGCCTCTTTGTGCCTCTGTTTTCTCATGTGTAACATGTGAATGAGAATACCACCAACCTCACATGGTTGTTGAAAATATTAAATGAGTTAATACATGTGAAGTCCTTAAATGTACTCTGAAGTCATGAGAACAATGTCCAGAACACAGGAGACATTCCATAGATGTCTGGGTAAAGCAAGGATGTGGCTCTCCTGCTCTTGCTTTGCTGTTCCTGTTGGGGGTGTAGGAAATGGCACCAGGTGTTAGGCCAGTGGGGTCAGACCGGACTGGGTTTAACAACCTTGGGACTTGAATTCTGGCTAGGAAAGTATTCAGAGCCAAGACTCAAACTATAAGAGAACATTTATTTGGAAAATCACAGATGTAGAAGTAATTCGTAGAAGAAATGGGCTTAGGAAACAAGTTTTAGAGCTAAAGATGGGCCTTTGGAGCTTGGGAGTAAGGAAGGTAATGGAGATGCCTGGGGAGAGGGGGAGGGGGAAGGGAAGGTTTGGAAGTGCTCCTGGTGGAGAGAGTGCACTGGGTCCTCTGTCCCAAGGATTTCAAGGGTGGAGATTTTAGGGGAGGTCCCAGGGGAAGATTTCAACAGAATATTCAGCAGTTTTCCAGGTGTATCCTTTCCGGGTCTAGATCGCCACTGATTGGTCATCTCCAGGGCAGGGAGTCATTATTCAAAGCAGCTGGCCCTGAGGTCAGCCATGGTGCTGCTTGTCTGGTTTTGCTGCTTTTCTGGGCCTGGAGCTGAAATACAACTGAGGCCTAAATGTTGTTATCTCTAGGGAGGAAAGTAAGGGAGTCCACACCACATGACCAACAATATGCTAGAGAAAGAAAGGTCACCCTGGGAGCAAGTTCCCAGCCTACAGTTGCCCCTTGCTAGGCACCTATGGCTTTCTGCATTGGTGACTTTCTGTAGCTGGCCCATCGTCCCTGCTCTGCTCATGTCTGTCTAACTGGCTTGCACATTCTCTCTCCCCCTCAAGGATCTTGGCTCTGAATTCTTTCAGAGAAAAAGGGCACAGGGTCTCTTCTGTAGCTGCTTCCTGCTGAAGCGGGGTGAAGTTTTTGTTTTCCTTAAGAGCCAAGAGATCCTTGCTCTTTGTCAGAGGGACGATGAGTTTTGGACACAGAAGAAGATGGCAATGGTGTCTAAAGATGGTGTTTCTGGAGTACAAGTAGGCCTTGTAACCGGATGGAGGCAAACTGCGTTACAAATCTTAGTGTTATTGAGGCAAAAGCCAGAATGACAAGAATTATGACAAATGGTCTGGTGGAAGGACATAATGTTTTAGTTCTGACTAATTCCAAGTCAAGGATGGGAGAAAAATGGAACATTAGTTTGGAGAGTTGTAGCAAAGTATTTAAGAAAATCAAAAAAAATTCAGGATTCAGTTCAGTTTATAGGTAAAAAGTAAAATTTTGAAGACAATTCATAGAATTAGAGTCTAATATTCACAACTGTGTATTACAGAGTCTATTGAAACAATTTACCCCCTAAAATTACCCTTATTTTTATTAAAGATATACATTAAGACCAATTTATTTACTGTATTAAGTCCAGTTGCAATATTTCCTGATCATTTGCATAAATATAATACAAATAGCAATTGATTATATAGGTTCTTTTAATTTGCTTTGCTGGAATCTCATGATTTAGCTTTAATTGGCCCCTCAGGTCAAAGAACCAAGCCACTTAGTTGCCATCATGTTTGCCTGCAAAATCTGTAGACTTGGGTGAATCCCTCAAGTTCTTGAGGTTCCTTCCTGGCTACCTCTTAGGAAAACAATCTTCATTCTATTCCTGGAAAGACTGCCATGGACCATGTGACCAAGCCATTTTTCCTGGGGCCTCTTATTGGCTTTATTATTATTATTATTTTCTTTATTGATTTTAGGGAGAGAAGAAGGGAGAGGGAGAGAGAGATAGTAACATCAATGAGAGAGAACATCGATTGACCACCTCCTACATGCCCCCCACTGGGGATTTGGGCCACAACCTGGGCATGTGCCCTGATCGGGAATTGAACCAGTTAACTCTTGGTGCGAGGGTTGATGCTCAACCACTAAGCCACACTGGCCGGACCCTCTTACTGGCTTTAAAGTCCATTTTTATTTCTCAAGGTTTTTTGGTGACACCCAAAGTCTAGGTTTGTCTCTCTTAGACAAGACATTCTGGTTAAAGTCTTGGATAATTAAACCACAATAGGAAATTTATGTTATGTGTTTGTTATAAAGGAATTGGACTTTTATTTGATTCGTGCAAATAAACATATTGCCATGAAAATTATAATAGTTACTCGAGTTTTCAAATTCTGGAGGGATTAGGTGGGGAAAAAATATAATTTAAATGGGTTAATACATGTAAAGACCCTAAATATATTCTGAAGTCATAAGAACAATGTCCAGCACATGGGAGATACTCTATAGATATATGAACTAAAATGAGGATGTCACTCTTCTGCTTTTGCTTTGCTGTTCCTGCTACCTGGAATACCCTTCCCGAAGCTGCTTTTTTGCCAGACTGGCTGATTTTTATCCTCTGAGCTTCAGTTCAAATGCTACCTCTGAGAGAGGCCTTCCTTGACCACTTGTCTAAAGTAGCTTCCATTTCTCTAAACCTATCTGTCTATGATTGCACTTTTCATAACCTGCAGTGTCTCCTTCCATGTGGACATGCGCTTCCAGAGGGGACTCCTTGTTGTTATTTGCTGCCCTGTCCTCAGAACCCAGAACCCAGAGGCGCCTAGACTCTCAATAAATATTGAGCAAGTGAAGAGTTCAGGTTGTTTACAATTACATACTACAAACAGTGCTGCAATCGACATTATTGGAGTTCTTTTTTGGTTTGCATTCTTAACAGTTTTTTTTTCCTTAGGATGAACTTCCTCAAGTGGAATTACTGGATTAGAGGACTTGCCAAATTGCCTTTCAGAGAGACTGTGTTCATTCATAGTCCCGCCAGGGTCCCCGGAGTGTGCTGGCCCTGTGCACCTTGTACTTGGGGCATTAGGAGAGAAAAAAAGCAAACTTTAAAATAACCTTCCCTTATGCTTCCACATTCTAAACAGAGACCTAAGATCCTGTTATATTGTGCAGATAAGGACACTGAGGCCCTGTGGTTAAGTAGCTTCCCCAAGGTCACATGGTAAATAGCAGAACTGGGATCCTGACTCAGGCAGTTAGGCTCTGGACTCTGCTCTCGACTGTCAAGATGTACTTTTTCCTCTATTCTTCAGTGGTTCCTGGGCACCTGGACATTTGAGAACTGCTGCTCTCCAGTGAGGGAAGACACAGCAAACCCAGCTGCGGGGAAGAGCTGCAAGCGAGGTGGGCAGGGGGAGGGGCAAGAAGCGAGCAGCACGACTTGGGGCAGGGGCTCCTCCTGCCTCCAGAGCTCATCCGACATTGTGTGTTTTCGTCTTCAGGTTCCAGTCCTAACCTTCCTGCTCTGCTCTTCGAATCCTGAGTTCAGTCTTTGGAACTTTGCCCAGGTGAGTCTGAACTTTTTTTTTTTTTTTTTAATTTGGTACGTGCCCTTAGCGGGAACCGAACCCGGGACTCTCTGGTCAGCAGGCCGACGCTCCAACCGCTGAGCCAAACCGGCCAGGGCTGAGTCTGAACTTTTGAGTGGGTCTGCCCTTTGGGAATGGGGAGTGCTGACAAGCTCGGCCTCTTCTTTGTTTATTTATTTATTTTGTAATCCGCATTGAGGATATTTTTCTATTTATCTTCAGATAGAGTGGGAGGGAGGGAGAAAGAGAGAGAGGGAGAGAAACATCGATGTGAGAGAGACACATTGACTGGTTGCCTCCTGCACCACCAGGGCTGGGGTCAAACCACAACCAAGGTACATGCCCTTGACTGGAATCGAACCCGTAACTCATTGGTCCATGGGCTGACACTCTGAGCACTGAGCCAAACTGGCCAGGGCCTCTTTGTTTATTTTTTAGTTGATTATTTTTTTGAGAGAGGGAGCGAGAGAGACATCGATGTGTTGTTCCACTTATTTATGCATTCACTGGTTGATTCTTGTATGTGCTCTGACCTTGGCGTATGGAGATGATGCTCTAACCAATGGAGCTACCCAGCCAGGGCAGGCTCTGCTTTGTAAGAAAGCCAAGCAGCACTCTTCCTGCTGGGCCTGGTTACAGGCCACCTGCTCCCTCAGAGACCCGGCCTCCACTGCTCCAGGTTCAAAATCCTGCATCTGAGCTGCTTGGTCCCCAAATGCCTACACCCTGCTCTCCCCTGCTGCCTCCGGGCTCAGGTTCGATTTTTCACTGTGTTCTCAAAACAGTGGTTGTAATGTGATCACATGTAAGGATCACCTCAGGGCCTCGTTGAAAAGGCAGATCTTAGATAAGCTGGGAATTTTGAGCACTGACAGGATATTTGATATTAGGCGTTAATTGTGGAATTTTAGGTGTGGCCATGGTATTTTATATACAGAGACCCTTGAAGAACATGGGTTTGAACTATGTGGCTCCATTTATATACAGATCTTTTTCAATAAATGCGTTCAGTACTGTAAATGTATTTTCTCTTCCTTATGATTTTCTTTTAAATGTTTAAAATGAAAAACAAAATTTTTTTCCTTTATTGATTTTAGAGAGAGGAAATGAGAGGGAGAGATAGAAACATCGATGAGAGAGAACATCGACTGGCCGCCTCCTGCATGCCCCCCACTGGGGATCAGACCCACAACCTGGGCATGTGCCCTGACCAGGAATCAAACCAGCGACCTCTTGGTGCATGGGTCGATGCTCAACCACTGAGCCACACCAGCCGGACTAAATGTTTAAAATATTTATTTATTGATTTGAGAGAGGGAGAGGAAGGGAAAGAGAGAGAAAGAGAGAACCATTGATTTGTTATACACTTATTCATGCATTCATTGGTTGATTCTTATATGTGCCCTGACCAGGGCTCGAACCTGCAACCTTGGATTTTTGAGACAGTGTTCTAACCCACTGAGTTACCTGGCCAAGGCCTCCCTTGTAATTTTGTTAATAACAATTTATTGTGTTGGTTTTTTTTCATATAATCAGAAGTATATTTATTTTCTTTTTACATTCAACATTATTTTGTATTAGTTTCAGGTGTATAGCATAGTGGTTAGACAAAACATTTTCTTTTCTCTGGCTTATTTTATTGTAAGAATATAGTGTAGGATACATATAACATAGAAAATATGTGTTCATCGACTGTTTTTGTTATGGTAAGGCTTCAGGTCAACAGTAGGCTATTAGCAGTAAAGTTTGGAGAAGTCAAAAGTTATATGCGGATTGTCAGCTGCAGGGCGCGGGGAAGAGAAGAGAGGGAGTGGGTGATGGTTCAGCACCCCAACCCCCGAGTTGTTCAAGAGTCAACTGCATGTGTGTATGCACATATATAAGTAAAATAATTCTTATCTTTTAGAGATACATAGTACAATATTTTGAAATAAATAATATGATGTATAGGATCTGCTTTAAAACAATCTGGGCAGGTAGAAGCATATAGATGATAAAATTGAACAATTATTGATGCTAAGTGACCTATACATGGGGGTTCCTTATGCTGTTCCCTGTACTTTTGCAGATGCTTTAATTGTTCCATAATAAAAGGTTAAAAAACAAACAAACAAAACACACACACACACACAAAAACCAGAAAGCACCCTTCAGTCTGGGGTACGTTTTACAGGTACCCCAGGTGGCTGCATGTGGGGCATCTGTCCACCCCATCTGGAGAAATTGCTCTGCAAAGCTGGTTAATGTGAACTCAGGTGGCCTCAGAGAGCCATCCCTGGGCCAGAGAAATGCATCTGATTGGCTCACTCCTCTGCTTTTCACCCCTGCACCGAATGAATGGGAAAGACAGCAGTAATCTTCAGTAAAATAAGGGTACCCTCACAGGCGGCCCTGTCTCTTTTACCTGGGTCACATGAAGGCTGAACTTTAGCCATTGGGTATTTGTCGGTCTATTCTCCTTTGAAAGTAACATGTTGGGTTTTTTTTATTCCTTTTTTTTATTCTTATCCTAGAACCTTTTTTTTTTTTTTTCATTTATCTTCAGATAGAGTGGGAGGGAGAAAGGGAGAAAGGAGGGAAGAGAGAGAGAAACATTGATGAGAAAGAGACACATCGACTGGTTGCCACCCACACAACCCCAACCAGGGCCGGGGACAAACTGCAACTGAGGTACGTGCGCTTAGTAAGAACCAAACCCGGGACTCTCTGGTCTGCAGGCTGATGCTCTAACCGCTGAGCAAAACCGGCCAGGGCAAAAGTAAAGTGTTTTGTTTTGTTTTTTAAAATTATTTTTCTTTTTTTGATTTGAGAGAGATAGGAAGGGAGAAGGAGAGAGAGAGAGAAACATTGATGAGAGAGAACGTCAACTGGCCGCCTCCTGCATGCCCCCCACTGGGGATCTGGCCCACAACCTGGGCATGTGCCCTGATGGGGAATCGAACCAGCGACCTCTTGGTGCATGGGTCGATGCTCAACCACTGAGCCACACCAGCCGGGCAGTAAAGTGTTCTTGAAAATAATTGTTGACAGGATGTTGAGTGATTTTTTTTTTTCTTTTCCCAAACTATTTTTTAATGTTACTTCATTGTTACTGTGAAAAGGAGGCTTTGGTGTGATTAGTCTATGCGTTGGAGGCCTGTCTCAGGCCCTTCCGAGGCCTCAAGCACCCTCTTCCCAAACCCTGCACTCACAGAGGGGGAGGCTGCTTACTTTCCTTAGTGAAGACAGTCACTGTTTCCTGGTCAGTGGAGGGCGCAGGTGTCGGGGAGGGTGGCCAGGAGGGGATTTGAACAGGCCTGCAGGGCAGGTCTGTCCTCACCCAGGCCGGTGTTTATACAACAGGAGCTGCCCCGGGCGCTGCAGGCTCCTGGGAAGGAGAGGCACCAGGAGGGGCGGCGTCACTCAGGGAGGCCACCTGTGGAGTCTCCAGCCAGGCTGGTCCCACCAGTGGGCCACCGCAGCCAAGGCTCCCGCTCAGGCTCGGGCGAAGGTTGTCACTGGAGAGCCGCGGTCCCCGCCAGCTCCAGCCACCCCAGGCCAGGACCTGCTCGGAAGAAGCGGGTAGGAAGCTGTGCTTTCGGTCAGCATGAAGCAAACGTCTTCTCTCTCTGTGGGGCAGTGTGACAGGCTGATTCATGTCAGCGTCAAAGGCAGAAACAGGGGAGCAGACTCTGCGTTCTGGAGGGAGGGGAGATTTAGCTTCTAGCCGATAAATTGGGAAACATTTTTTGAGCACCTGCTTTATGGTTGATCTAGACTGGAGATTGTGTGAGAAACATACAAATTCCCGACCTCCTGCATTTTTCTGGCTAGTGGGCAGTACAGACAGTACACAAGTAACTGTAGGTGATGGGTATTCTGGGGGCGTGTAAGAGGGGGCTTAGATCACAGGCGGTGTTGGTGGAGGTCGAGAAAGGCTTATGGAAGAAGAGGTTCCTTACAGCGAGTTGAGAGGAATGACGGGGGACACAGGGTGGGGAGGAAGGGGGTGAGGGTCTGAATCCAGGGGCGGCACAGAAAAGGTCCCGAGTGCAGAGCAGTGAAGCCGGAGGGGAGGTCAGATCACACTGCCCTTTGTTGGCGGGGTCCAGGGATTTCAAGTTTTCCTGCGGGAAGATGGAATGATCGGAGCGGGAGGGATAAGCCCCGTGTCTAGCAAACAGCAGATACTCTGCATGCTATAAAATGATGTGAGGAAAAGGGGTTCACTCTGGAAGTGAGCTAGTTCTTCCCGAAGGTTGGACTTTGGGGAAAACCATTTGGTTTGGCAGCAGCAGGGCAGTCGAGAGGGTCTTGGATGGAAATGGATTCTAGATAAATATCCTGAGTTCATATAGAGGACATACAGATTGGTTTCCCTTCTACTGACTGCACAGGGCTCTGTTTTTGTTTTTTGTGTGATTAAAAAGTTTCTTTCTTATTTATTTATTTATTTATTTATTTATTTATTTATTTATTTATTTATTTATTTATTTATTTAACAGCGCTCTGTTGTATCTGTTTAAACATTCCCCTGTGGGTGGATGTCTAGGTTAGATGCATTTATTATAATTGTTATACAATGTTACTGAAACTTCCTTGTGGAAATCTTGGGTCATGAATGGCAGTAATATACAATTTTTTATTAAATTTGTTGGGGTGACATTGGTTAATAAAATTATATTGGTTTTGCCCTGGCCGGTTTGGCTCAGCGGTTAGAGCATCGGCCTGCGGACCAGAGAGACCCAGGTTCGATTCCCGCTAAGGGCACATACCTTGGTTGCAGTTTGTCCCTACCCCACTTGGGGTTGTGTGGATGGCAACCCCTCGATGTGTCTCTCTCACGTCGAAGTTTCTCTCTCTCTTCCCCACTTTCTCCCTCCTACTCTGTCTGAAGATACATGCAAAAAAAAAAAAAATTATATTGTCTCAGGTGTCCAATTCCAGAATACATCATCTGTACATTGTATTGTATGTTCACCACCCCAAATGCTATTTTTTAAATCGAGAGTGATTCCTGTTGGATCCCCTTCTGCCCGCCCCCCCCCTTGGGTTTAATTTTGCACAACAACAAAAATTTGCATCCTAAGGTTTTTCCACATTTTTCTTTCTCATATGTCTTTGCCTCCTGCAGACCAAGCGAGGTCACGATGGCCTCAGTGTTTCGCAGCGAGGAGATGTGTCTGTCACAGCTGTTTCTGCAGGTGGAGGCTGCCTACTGCTGTGTCGCTGAGCTTGGAGAGCTGGGGTTGGTTCAGTTCAAAGATGTAAGTGCCGCATTCTTTGGAGGCCAGAGGAATGACAACTCTTTCCTATCGCTTCTCGGTAGCGAGCAGAAGGCAGGAAGAGAGCCCTGAGCTGGAAGGGATGGAATTCTGTGGTTCTAGTCCTCGGCTCAGGATTATCTATAACACGGGGCAGGTGACTGGCAAAGAAGTCCTTCCCTTTTCCGTATGTATTTCCTCTACAGGAAGGTTTGGAAGCTCCAGAGCCATCACTACATGTTAGATGCATCATAGTTTATCTCCTGTTGTAGCAACTTCAAAGGATTCGCTGTATCCAATTGCACGTGGATTACCAAACCCTGTTCCAAGGAGATTTCTCCCTGACTTGTCTGTCTCAGGACAAAGTATCCTGGAGTCTACAGTCTCTCTAGAGTGACATTCTAAGACAACCGACTGCCTTGAGTGTGATGTCGGGGTGTCATTTCCCAAAGGCAGTTTAGATCCTCATCAGGCTGTTTTGAATCCAGTTTAGAACATTGGTGTCTACTCTTCTTGACTTCCTCACCAAGGTCAAGGTCAAAACTAAGCTCCTGCATGGAAGGATCACTTCTTGGTCTTTGCGTCCCTAGCTCCTCGCACGGGACCTGTCATGCGCCTCCTCACTAACATTTATTGGGCTGAGCTGAGGGTCACCAGCCCAAAGACACAGAATTTTTGTTGATGACGGTGAAGCTTCCCATGGAGCTGGGCACTTTTCAGGGTCGTATTCATGACTCCATTGAGTTCAAGGCTCAGTGGGATAAGAAATACAGCTAGAAGGAAGGGACCCTTAACTGTGAGGAGGACTTTGTCCCTCTTAGCAGGGTAAGAAGGCCAGAGCAGAGGTATTTGGGGGACTGAGTACAGGAACATCGAGGTGTGTTTTGCCTGTAATATCTATCTTGTGTATCTATTTCTAAGACGGTTTCAGTGACATTTTCCAGCGTTAAAACAATGTGATAACATAGCCAAAGGGAGTAAGGATGACGGCATCTGTTGCTACTAACATGCGCCGTGTGGTGTTTCCCTCCCTCTAGTTAAATGTGAACATGAACAGCTTCCAAAGGAAATTCGTGAATGAAGTCAGAAGGTGTGAGTCAATGGAGAGGATCCTCCGTAAGCCCATTTTCTGCCTGCGTCTGATTCTGAACGGGTGGGGAGGGAACGGGTGTGCAGGTCTTGATGCACAAACCGGTCCCTATTTCAAGGTGACCCTGGAGGCAGGGTGGGGAGGTTAGAGATGGGATCCAGGTGCTGTGGCAGGTCCCCGGGGCAATTCAGGACGAAAGCCACCTGTCCTGCCTGACCCCATGTCTTCCATGTGAGAATATGCAGTCACCTTGGGCTCTCTGTGGGGTTTCTTCGCTCAGGTTTTCTGGAAGACGAGATAAAAAATGAGATTGAGGTTCACTTGCTGGAGAAGTCCCCACCGACCCCTGTCCCGCGGGAAATGATTTCCCTGGAGGTAGGTTCTTTCCTGCTGAGGACAGTCAGGACGCCCGTCACCCTGGGAGCTCAGAGAGCCCATCGCGAACCCATCGCCCAGTCTGAAGGCGTGGAGGGTGTTATGTGGCTTTCCACTTGTGAGTGTTACTTCCCCGGAGAAATTCCTTTGAACGGTTTTAGAGTCACTGCTCCTGATGCAGGAGAGACTCTTTCTCTCCAGTGCAGCTCTGGGGAGGCTCACCCACTTTGGAGAATGGTGTCCTTTGTGGGCAGAAGATTCTCATGGGCACCGAAATCTTCCCCAGCTGGTGCCACTGAACAGGTCTGATGTTGGCGCAGCAGACCCCCCCTCCCCTCACCGTGCTGTAGATTACGTCCCCAGGACTTAGGTGTCTCACAACTGGAAGTTCGTGCCTTTCAAGCCCCTCCACCCATTTTGCCCACCCTCCTCACCCTCTGCCTCTGACAACCACCACCCTGTTCTCTGAGTTCAGTTTGTGCATTTTCGATTTCACATCGAAGTGAGATCATATGGTACTTGTCCTTCTCTGCCTGACTGATCTCACTCAGCGTAATGCCCTCCAGGTCCATCCATGTTTTTATGGTTGGGTGATATTCCTTTGTATCTCTGTATAGCACCTTTCTCCACTCATCTGGACACTTGGGTTCCCACGTCTTGGCTGCAGTGAATAATGCTGCAATGAACATGGGGATGCAGGTCTATTTTTTTGAGGTAGTGATTTCGTTTCCTTTGGATAAATATCCAGAAGTGGAATTTCTGGATCATGTGGGATGTTTCCTCACTATCTAGTGGGAAGCCGTGGATGTACTGAGTTCACTCTTGGCGTCTGAGATCAAGTGTGAGGAGGTTGCCATGGACACTGTGGCGGTGGGGCCCTCCCTCTTTCTCTGCCCTCTCGGTCTACTCCCTGTGTACACGCCGAGTTCCTGCTGTAAACACAGGGCACCCGAGAGAGAACCCACACATGGCCGAGCCCTCTGGGAGCTTCTGGCGCAGAGGGTGGAGGGGCCGAAGGGGTGGTGTGATGGAAGAAGATGTCAAAAAGGTGGCAGAGCCAGATCATGGAAGGCCCTGTTGATCCTATCTGGATTTTTTTTAGAAAACTAGAGTTTTCAATCCTCAGAGGAGAAAGGGCTGGTAGGGAGTTTCACTGAGCTCAGCCTTATCCCTGGCTGGTTTGTCTTCATTTTCTTTTAAGATAACTTAAAAGTCTTGAAGCTCTTGTAATCTGCTATAGTATACCTGTAGATACTCTAACAGAGATATGAGACTGGCAACTCCCCTAGAACATATTTTGGATCTTATATTAAAATCTGGGTATTTGGGGAGAAAGCTTTTATTTATTTATTTATTATTATTATTTTTTATCCTCACCCAAGGACATGTTTCTATTTTTTGTTCAGATAGAGTGGGGGGCGGAGAGAGAGAGAGAGAGAGAGAAATCGACGTGAAAGGGACACATCGAGTGGCTGCCACCTGCACGACCAACCAGGGCCGGGGACAAACTGCAACCGAGGTACATGCCCTTCGCGGAAACCGGACCCAGGTCTCTCTGGACCACAGGCCGACGCTCTAACCGCTGAGCCAAACCGGCCAGGGTAGGGAGAAAGCTTTTAACCAAAAAGCGATGAGTAGGGTGTCCGTCAGATCATCTCCAACTCCAGTCTTGTCCATAGTCTCCTAACACCAGCCCTCTAATGACCAGCTCCCCTGCCGCCGCCACCCCTTCACCGTCTTTATCACCCAGGCCTGTTCTTGGGAACTGTGAGATGTCATCCGGGCGTATGCTCTCACCCCAATCCTGGGTCCGAGTTTTGATAGAAGTTTGCTAGATTTCCCGCTTTCTTCTTAACCGTTCCGAACCTGTTCTGCCTCCTGCCACCAGCCTAATTATTGTCACGGTGTTGCTTTCTCTTGCCACTTCCTTGTTCAAGGAATACAGGATGGTCCCCTTCTCAGGTCCCACGCAGCCACCAAAGCCCACTCTCCCCAGCTCTGTTCTATCTCTCAGGCCCTCCGCTGTCCTTGGGCTGGTTTCTTTTTTTTTTTTTTTATGAATTTTTATTTATTTTTTTGTTACAGACATTTTACCTTTTTACCCCATTGGCACCCCCCCACCCCACCCCCCCTCCACCCTGTCCCCGGCTTAGTTGTCCATGTCCATTGGTCATGCATACATGCATATAAGTTCTGTGGTTTATCTCTTCCCACCCCCCCACCCCCCATCCCCTCTTCTGAGGGATGTCAGTCTGTGCCCTACTTCCATGTGTCTGGGTCTACTGTATTCCTCAGACTGTTATGTTCATTATATTCCGTATATAAGTGAAATCATGTGGTATTTGTCTTTTTCTGCTTGGCTTCTTTCACTTAGGATAATATTTTCCAGGTCCCCCCATGTCGTCTCAAAGGATAAGAGATCTTTTTTTCTTACCGCTGCATAGTACTCCATTGTGTATATGTACCACAGCTTTTTGATCCATTCGTCTACTGGTGGACACTTGGGCTGTTTCCAGATTTTAGCTATTGTAAATAGTGCTGCTATGAACATGGGGGTACATATATTCTTCCTGATTGGTGTTTCAGGCTTCTTAGGGTATATTCCTAGAAGTGGGATCACTGGGTCAAATGGAAGTTCAATTTTTAATTTTTTGAGGTAGCACCATATTGTTTTCCATAGCGGCTGCACCAGTCTGCATTCCCACCAGCAGTGTATTAGAGTCCCCTTTTCTCCACACCCTCGCCAACACTTGTTGTTTGATGATTTGTTGATGGCGGCCATTCTGACAGGTGTGAGGTGATACCTCATTGTTGTTTTAATTTGTATCTCTCTGATAATTAGTGATGTTGAACATTTCTTCATATGTCTCTTGGCCATTTGTATGTCCTGTTTGGAGAGGTGTCTATTCAGCTCCTCTGCCCATTTTTTAATTGGGTTCTTTGTCTTCCTTTTGTGGAGTTGTACGAGCACTCTCTATATATTTGAAATTAACCCCTTATCTGATACATCATTGGCAATGATGTTCTCCCATACAGTGGGTTGCCTTTCCGTTTTGATGATTGTTTCTTTTGCTGTGCAGAAGCTTTTTAGTTTGATGTAGTCCCATGTGTTCATTTTCTCCTTTATTTCTGTTGCCTTAGGTGATGTATCAGTGAAAATTCTGCTCCGTATGATGTCCGAAATTTTGTTGCCTACATTTTCTTCTAGAATTTTTATGGATTCACGGGTCACATTTAGGTCTTTATCCATTTTGAGTTTATTTTGGTGTATGGTGTAAGTTGATGGTCTAGTTTCATTTTTTGCATGTAGCTGTCCAATTTTCCCAACACCATTTATTAAAGAGGCTGTCTTTACTCCACTGTATGCTCTTGCCACCTTTGTCAAATATTAATTGAGCGTATTGCCTTGGGTCCATTTCTGGGTTTTCAGTTCTGTTCCACTGGTCTATATGCCTGTTCTTGTGCCAGTACCAGGCTGTTTTGGTTACAGTCGCTTTGTAGTATAACCTGATATCTGGTATTGTGATCCCACCTACTTTGTTCTTCTTTTTCAAGATTGCTGTGGCTATTCGGGGTCTTTTTTGGTTCCATATGAACTTTTGAAGTACTTGTTCTAGTTCTATGAAACATGTCGTTGGTATTTTGATGGGGAGTGCATTGAATCTATAGATTGCTTTGGGTAGTATGGACATTTTAATTATGTTAATTCTTCCAATCCATGAACAGGGTATGTGCTTCCACTTTTTTATATCTTCCTCTATTTCTTTTTTCAATGACCTGTAGTTTTCTGCAAATAGGTCCTTTACTTCTTTGGTTAAGTTTATTCCTAGGTATCGTAATTTTTTTGGAGCGATGGTAAATGGGATTGTTTTTTCAGTTTCTCTTTCTGTGAGTTCATCATTGGTGTACAAGAATGCCGTCGATTTCTTGACGTTAATTTTGTATCCTGCTACTTTGCCAAATTCATTTATTAAGTCTAATAGATTTTTGATGGAGTCTTTAGGGTTTTCTATGTACAATATCATGTCATCTGCAAATAATGACAGTTTCACTTCCTCCTTTCCAATTTGGATCCCTTTTATTTTTTCTTCCTGTCTTGGGCTGGTTTCTTGATTCATTTCTCAACTCCAAGCTTTGGGCCATGCTAAAGCCTTCTCCGACTGTGCCAAGACACACGAATTCCAAGTTTTTTGGAACTCCTGATCAATATTACATTTTCACGATTTATCCTTTAATTCAAAGGTTCTCAAGTTTCTTCAGACACCTTTAGACTCCAACATCATTGAGAATCCCCAAAAGCTTTATTTATGTGGGTTACAATGATCGATATTTAGTGCATTAGGAACCAAGACAAAAAAGTAACATATTTATTAATTCATTGAAAAAGAATATTTAGTTACATATTAGCATTTTAAGAAAGAAAAATAACTGTCTTTTCTAAGACAAAAACTTCAGCGAGAATCAGGCATTGTTGGCAAGTTTCTCAAATGCATGGCTCGGTGGAAGACTGGTCTCTCAGCTACTCTGTTTCGATATGAAGTATATAAAGATAATTCAGCCTTGCGCAGATGCAGATGCGTAGTTGGGAAAGCGAGGAGTGTTTTAATACCCTTTCCAAAGAATTGTAGATACTTGTCTTTGATATGACCTTGAAACTTGACACGCAAGGAGACTTTCTTGCTTCTGTTAACCAGGTAACAAGTGTTTTTGTTTCTGAATTGAGTTGGTTATGATTCAGATAGTACCTTAAAAGTCAGTTCATTCCGCCCTGGCTGGTTTGGCTCAGCAGTTAGTGTCAGCCCGCGAACCAGAGAGTCCTGGGTTCGGTTCCTGCTAAGGGCACATACCTCGATTGCAGTTTGTCCCCAGCCCCAATTGGAGTCGTGTGGGTGGTGATGTGTCTCTCTCACATCCATGTTTCTCGCTCTCTCTTCCTCCCTCCCTCCCTCCCACTCTATCTGAAAATAAATGCAAAAAAAAAAAAAGTCAGTTCAAATGAG